TCTTGTTATGGTAAGGTGTCAGGATATAAGCTCCACAAAGGCAGCATTTTTGTTTGTATTGTTTACTGATGTATTTCCAACAACTTAGAACAATGCCTGCCACATGGGAGTGCTCAATAAATATTTTTAAAATGTTGAATGAGTTATTACTAAGACCTATTTCGGCTCTTCCATTTATGAAGATATGTACCTACACAAGAGGAACTTGGTAAAATATTTTAAAGAGATATTCAAACAACAACAACAACAGATGTTTTGTGTTAATACTAGACCTTTGTCTAAAGACCCCTTTTTCTTCCCACCTAGATATTATTATTCCCAGAAATACACAAAAAATTGTAATACTTAGCTATATCAGGCCTTGTCTCCCTAACCAGACTGTAACTTTTGAGAAGGCAGGGAATCTTTCTTTCTTTCTTTCTTTCTTTCTTTCTTTCTTTCTTTCTTTCTTTCTTTCTTTCTTTCTCTCTCTCTTTTTTTTAAGTAAATTCTACCCCCAGCGTGGGGCTCCAACTCATGAACCCAACATCAAGAGCCACATGCTCTACTGACTGAGTCAGCCAAGGCATGCACCTGGACATGTTTCTTCTTTACTTTTTGGGGGTACATTTTCAGTCATCATACTACCTAGTGCATAATACTTACCTGGTTCTTCCACCAAACTTGTGAGCTAACACATTGACTGGTTCGCAGTAGGAAACTAACAAGTTTTCAGTGAGACAAGGACCCAGGAAAAGGTTTGGTCAGGAGTCCCCACCTCCCACATAGAATCAACCCACTGGGGATGCAGAGTCAGTTATATTGGGAGCCATATGCCCTTTCCTAAAGCAGCCTCTGTCTCTACATATGCAACTTTATGAGGTCCTGAAACCCTCCTGGGTTTGTATTGTTTAGACCTGAGAGAGGCAGTCAGGAGAATAAATATTAAGACTATTATAACCTTTTTATTATTTCAGTTAAAGGTTATTCTGGAGACTCTTCTTGAGTGCCTTCTATGGGCCAGGCACTGTGCTAGGTACTGGTAAGGATGTGGGAAAAGACGCAGAAAGAAACAATACATGAATGGCCCTAGTCCTAAGAAGCAAATGATCCAGCAGGTTCTGGTTCATAGAGACAATCATATTCACAATAGCTATAATAATAGTTATAGTTTACATTATTAAAAACTATTACAGGCACTATTTCAAAGGTTTTAAGTGTGTGATCTAACTTTGTTCATAATAAAACTCTGAGAGTTAAATATTCTCATTATCCCCATTGGACAGAGGAGGACTGAGACATAGAGAGGTTAAAGAATTTGCCCCTCCCCACAAAAAAAGAATGTGCCCCAGATCGCTGTGTAAGTAGACCCAATATTCAAACATGGGCAAGCTGGCTCCAACACCTATGCTCCCATTTTCCCATTAATTAGGAAAATAATTTGAAAACAAAGATTAGTCTCTCTTCTACTCTGGTTTCCTTTGTGGTTTTTGTTTTTGTTGTTGTTATTGTTGTTGTTGGTGGTGGTTGGTTGGTTTGGGTTGTTGTTGTTTTGCTTTGTTTTGTTTTGTTTCTTCTACTCTGGTTTATTTATTTATTTATTTATTTATTTATTTATTTATTTATAAAATTTATTTATTTATTTTGAGGAGGGGGAGAGGCAGAGGGAAAATGTACCAAGCAGACTCTGCCATCAATGCAGAGCCCTACATGAGGATCGATCCCACCAGCTGTGAGATCATTACTTGAGCCGAAATTAAGAGTTAGAAGCTCAACTGACTGAGCCACCCAGGCGCCCCCACGTTTTTTAAGATTCTATTTTTATTTGTATTTTTTTGATATATTTAAAAATATTTGTTTATTTTTGTGAGGGGGGAGAGAGAGAGAGAGAACAAGTGAGGGAGGGGCAGAGAGGGGGACAGAAGATCTGAAGCAGGCTCTGTGTTGACAGCAGAGAGCCTGATGTGGGGCTCGAACTCACGAACTGTGAGATCATGAACTGAGCTGAAATCGGACGGTGAATTAACTTATCCACTCGGGGGCCCCTAAGATTTTCTTTTTAAGTAATCTCTACACTCAATGTAGGGTTGGAACCCACAACCCCAAGATCAAGAGTCATATGTTCTATCAACTGAGCTAGCCAGGTGCCCCTACCCTGCTTTCCTTTGAATCAGAAAATATTATGTCCTCTTTCCTCACCCTTTGTGGCCAAATGAATTCTTACATACAATTTTCTGAAGGGGAGCTTAAGATACTTGCACTGCTCTCACAGAATCATGTACTGCTGAATATTCCCTTTTTTTTTTTCTGGCATTCAAGAGAATCCCTTCACTTGTCTCAAGTGTGTCAGGGTCATTGACGGTTTGAGAAGAGAGGTTTTCTGGGAAGGACTTGGAGGTGGGAAATCAATAAGGCATTCTCAAAGCTGGGAGCGGGGAGCCAGGAGAGCATGGCTTTATTCAGCACCGTGGACAGGGCTCCTGGAGTTCTCAGGACCCTGGACAGAGAGGCTGGTCACGCCTGCGGAGGGAACAACCCTTATTTGAGAGCGGACCAAGAGAGACCAAACCACTAAATTCCTTTTTCCCTCTCTTCAGCCAGACCTCAGTCACCTGCTCCTGAATCTTAAGAATAGAGATACAGGGAGTGAATATATTTTAAAGGCCCTAATACCGAGGGGAGATAAGACCTAGGTGGGGAGGATTATATAAACAAAAATGGCTTTGGCTGATGTACTTGGAAGAACTCTTGGAAGAACGAAATTAAGGTTCTCATCTGGGAGTGGGACATTACTAATGATATTTGTTTAATGATATGTATTTTTTAGGCTGAGTAGTGAAGGGCCACATTTGTCCTCTTTATCGCCCAAAGTCCTACCCCCTATCCCGTACACTCAAGTTTTCGTCTTTTGGAGAGCACTCTCCATGTAGGAAAGAGAAAAAAAAAAATCTCTCCACAACCCCTTGCTCTCCCCTCTTTCCCTTCCCTACCCCCACTCATTCTCTTTCTCTCTTAAATATACACGTGGGCGGGCGGGCGCGCGCGCGCACGCACACACAGACACACACACACGCCCAGGGTGAGAAGCGCGAGAGGTTCTACACACTTGGTGGAGAAGACTGAATTCAGAGCAAGCGGATGCCCCCGAAAGCAGGCTCTGTCTCTTTAAATGGGTTGTAGCAGTGGGGGAGGGGAACTGGCCGGAGCTGGCATTGTCCAGTTTGAACTGAGCACCGGAAGTGAAGGGGCAGGGCCAGGGCCGTGCACTGAGCCCCCGGCCATTGTCCATCTCCGACCAGGGCACTAGCCACCCCCCCTGACCAACCCTCTTTATCTCCCAGAAGGGGAGCTACCTCTTCAAGTAAGGAGATCGTCTACTCCAGTTCCCCCACCAACCCCACCATGGGGAGGGAAGCGCACTTTAGGATGGGACTCTGAAAGAAGGAAGGTCTGGCTACCCAAGAGTGTCCGGAGGACTGGAAGAAATGCCTCCACCCACCTACCCACTTCGTCCCTCTTCCAGCAACGGATAGGGATGGGATTGGGATAGGAACAGGATGAGGGCAGCTGGAGGAGAGAGGAACACACTTCAAGCCTCTTAGGTTTCCTTCTGCTCTCCCAGGAAGCACCACGTGGAGTCAATTTTAGACACAGATTTGGAAGGAAAAAAGGAAGGATTTTTTACACAGAATCAATTAGGAGCACTTTGAGAGATCTAAAAAACAGTCGGAAACTCAGGGAGGGAGAGACATTCAGTCAGAGACAGCGTCTTGAGAGGCA